TGTATTGATTTAAGCATAATAAAATTATATTTATGTAATTTTAATTTATTTTTAATCCAGCATTCGGAATACTGGCAGACCTAATTCTTGCCTATTTCCATCTTTCAGACAAAACCAGGACCAATCAAGGCGGCCAGTTCTCACTCTGCGCGCTCTGCTTTAGTGTACTGCTACAACTGTTCCCGGAAAGGACATTTTGGATATGTAAGTCTCAGCAGTCTCTGCCTTAGTGTTTAGTATATCCTTGGGGTAGAAATTCATCTCTGCCATAGTGTGTGGTTGGAGAAGAGAGCTGGAAGAGTCAAGCTAATGCTCTACGAAGGGCCACTCTAATGAAATGCTTGTGACTCTGCAGCACTGCTGCAATCAGTGGAGGCCAACGTATAAAGTGATCTCACCCATCTAATTTAAAGATACAGAGGAAAAGGAAAGTTACTATCTCTCCTTGGCAGGTTTATTGATTTGTTTTTTAAATCTTAAATCAAAATGAGACTGCCTGGGAGAGAGAATGTTTATTGGAAAACAAACAGTTGCTGAATAGCTTTTTTTTTCCCCCCCTTTCTTTCTTTTTTTTCCCATGGCTCATGGAATGAAATATTAGTGCCTTACTGCCACGTTCAATATCATGTAAGGTTTTTCGCCACAATCAGCCCAACAATTTGAATGCCCATTTTAGGAATTTTCTGTTTCTGCCTGCTTTTGATGATCTTTATTTGTAGTTTCTTAGTTTAATTCAACATCTGAATTAAGTTTGACATCATCCTTCTGTAAGGTACACAGTCTGATGAAGGAGGACATTGCGAGCCTCAAGTGGCTTCAGTAAAAACTGGAGGTGTCCTGCATCTTCTAGGATTGCTTGCTGATGTTTATCACCTTTTTCAGCTCCCTGTCGTGACAAGTGCAGCTCTCTACCTGCAAATATCAACACCAAACAAATGTTAGTTCTTTTCTTTTGTGGAATATGTCCAGCAGCCACAAGTATTCTAGAAAATGAATGGTACTCATGTTGGATGGGTTAAGTTTATAGTTTCCTACAGGTAAGAGATAGCAAATTCCCAGCAAATTCCTTCCTTCTCTCCTGCATGCTGCATGTGCCGACTCCTACAACTACTGAAGATGTATGGTTAAAAGCTTGCTGCTGTTTTCAGCTAAGTAGTTAATCCTTGTGGGAAATCATGGGACAGGTAGGGCAGGTTTGCTGGGATCTTCTCATGGCAGAGCTGCAAGATAAGTGGAAGATTTTTAATGCCAAGCTGTCTTTGGAGACAAGTGAAGATTTTCCTCGGTGAGTGGTGTGTTGAGGCCATCACGTACATCCAGGACATGCTTGCTGCCTGCACAGGCAGGTTGGAAGGGGCAGGAAATAAGCAGCTGTTGCAATCCAAGCTCGGTAAGATGAGCATGTGCCAGCAGCCTGGTGTCACCCCTGCCACAGCAGGAGAACAGGCACTGCCTTGGCTGTGGGACAGGAGTCCAAATCCTTGGCTTCACCCGCAAGACATCTGCTCAAGACACAGCTACACATGCAGCAGCAGTGTGAGACCTCAGTGATACAGTCATGTGAACTAGCTTGTTCTGCCTGCTGTTTGGGACTAGAGCTGAGAAAACCTATGAAGGCAGCACTGAAACTGATCCTGCTAAACCAAAGCAGAATAAAGCCCCTGCTAGTAATACAGACACTAAAATGAGCATATACAATAAAACCTGAAGTGACAGAATTGAACAAGTGAGACTGATTGCTGGCAATGGATAAGGAACATTTTACTAAACTGTCTAAAAATGGCATTTGAGGAAGGCAGCCATACGTGGATACAAGTAAGGCTACTGTAAAAATAATTAGTAAATATGTGGGAGGAGCTGACAGTAATTACTTGGATAGAAAATGGTAGAAACTATAAAATCAGTAAGGGAGTAAAGTGACTCAAGGACAACACTTACGGCCATCAAAGTTAAAGAAGATAAGGTAGTATTTTTACTAGCATACAATGAGCAGAAATAGCCTGAGCAATGACTGAATGAAAATGGAAAAGTCAAAAACAACACAGAAGGGCAGAAATACTCACCAGATCTTTCTATATGCATACAGAAAAATGTCTAGGATGCGCATCGGATTATGTCATGATAACTGAGTATTTGCCCTCAAATCACTAAACCTTCTGTCCAAGAATGACTGAAGAAATGGGACTGGCGGCCTGCATGTGTATCTTTACAGTGACCCAGCTGGACAGGCAACGCATCTGAGATTTGCAGCTCTCACTGGCTAAGAAAACTGAGGTCATAATCAGTGCCTGAGCTCATGCGGTGAGCAGCTCTGTCAGACCTTGAAAGATCTGCCTATAATTTCAGGGGGGGAAAAGGTGGGGTTGTTGATTTTTTTTTTTTTAAATGTAAATATTTTTAAGCAGGTAAAAATCCCTTGTGCTGACAAGCATCTCTTAACATTTTTCCCATTTCTATACCTCAAGAACCCTGCTCTATTGCCTTTTTTGAGCGGTTAAAGCAGAGGAATAACAAACTGACCAGAAAAGAAAAGGCTGGGGTTTTGTACAGACACACCACAATCAGTGCTTCTCACCACAGTCCACTTCCTTTTGTGTTACCATTTGACCTAGTTTAGGAACACCTGAAATTACTTTTCTTTGCTAGAGGTCTAGGGAGTCCTTTCCCAAAAATAGAGGCCAGAGCAAAAAACTTGCTAAATCCCAGAGTTAACTGTGCAGTTCCAGTAAGGAGGTCATTGTGGATCACTTCTTGTTTGTAGAAATGGAAATAGTTAAGACATAAACTGTCAGAGGTTCTAACACCTGGCAGTTACGTTTCCTGAATTTGCTGTATTGTTTGTTAAGACAGTCATGTTTTTATATAAACTAGGGGTTTAATAAGGACAAGAAATCTTATTTTCTTTAGTAGACTTCACATCATAGTTCATTTCATACCAGTCCACACGTCCAAAACATTGTCTCTTAGGGTCCATAACAAAGATCTGCTCATTTTAAGGGTCATTCCTGTAGGAAAGCTAAGAGGGAGGGCAAGTTAATGAGGGACAGCCCACTGCGTTATTCAGGCTGCAGCAAGTTCTAAAGGCAGCAAGGATAAGGAACTGTACGGTATCTGCAGATGTGCCTTGCATTCACATACCAGTATGCCAATCACACAGAAAATTCGTCCTGCAGGTTGGTAGCAGGCTCTGCTTTCCATCCTCTGTACGATACCTCCAGCGCAGAAGACTGTCCCAAGAGTACTTAACAGTACACAGTGTATGGCAGCAGTGGCAGTTTACTTGAGAGGGAAGGATATAGTCAAGTGCATGTTGGACATTGCTGAGCTGATTTATCAATGCAGTGGAGATAAAGAGGAAAAGAGGACTGCTGATTTGGGTGGCATGTGCATTTCATTCACTAAGGCTTCTCTGTCAGCGCATTAATAAAAGGAAAATAACGAACGGGCCACGTGCCTGCAGAGAAAGCCCTAGATTTGGTGCAGGATATCCAGCAGTACATTTCACAGGTATCACAGAAAGATGGATGTGTCTTCGCATACTCCTATGTAAAGCCAATCTGTTGTTTTCAGTAACCTCTTCGGCAATGTTCAGGGATATTTTCTTTCATTTATTCCAGATAGGCAGGCAGCTTTGTGCCCTGCCTGAAGGCCACTCTTGGGTTTCACTCATGTGAAATACAGGTATTTGAAGTGTCATTTCTCTTTTATGCTTTTTTCTCCTCTTAAATCTGGGGGAGGTAGATGGAGGACCCGGGAAAGGTGAGAGAGGAAGTTTCTTTGTGGGGCAATAGCTCTGGCTGTTCAAGGTGTTCAGTGTGAAATCCAGTCTGTCTTCCACGATATGCATATCTCAGATGAGAGATACTGAGATATGCATATATCTGGGCTACTGAGAATGGCCTCAGGCGACGGATGGACTCGCATGCCCTCTCCTAGGTCCCTTTCAGCCTGATTTCGCGGTGGGGTAAGGCTGAGCCCTCAGACTTGTGGGTAGGCTCCAGCTATGAGCTGCCACTGCTGGTGTGGGCTCCTCCATGCATGCAGTGACGAGCCAGTTGTCACACAACCTAACAGTACCCTTTTGGAGGACACCACAGAGAATAATAACCTGATTCTTCATTTAATTTCAGCCACGCAAAGACAAATACAAGCTGAGAAATGTGAAATAAATCTGAAATGCATTTTTGATGTACTCTGCCTTTAAAAAAGAGAGGGTGGGAGGCAGGAGGACGCACAGGGAAGGGGGGTGCTAGAGGTGGCACTGAGTGGTAGAAACAGCAAACACAAGAAGGAAAGCTGCTTCACTTGTGGTGGAGACACTGGGGGAAGTGAAAGCTCCTGATAGTTTCTTGAGAATGGGAGAATGGGAAGGCCCAGAGCTCATTAGATTTGGGCAGTGTCCAAGGCGTAGAAAGATGATGTTGCAAAGCACAACAGTTAACAAGCAATTTACAAGTAGAAGAAAGCATCAGTTAGTATCACATCATACCCTGAAAAAAAGACAGAATCATAGGAAGCATCCCAGTTAGCCTGGCTCACAAGACATTGCTAAAACTTTGTGTACAGCAGTAAAAAAATTCACATTCCTGAATCAAGTGTTTGGGAAATAGGCTGACATGCACATGATGAAAGAGCCAGCCCCTTCCTCATCTCAGCTGACTGTTCGGGGCTCTCTTCCTCTTCCCTGCAATCTGATGTGCTTACACAGCAGTCTCCTGCAGGATTTGCTTTTGTTTTGTATCTGTGAGGAAACAGCATACAGTCAGACACACTGTTCTGGCTGCAGATGGGCTGTGTGGGGAGGATGCTGACCTTGGCTCCTCATCACTGCTTGCGTCTTCCCTCAGCCCACCCCACACTTTGAGTCTGCCACATTTCTGCACATGCTTTCACCCCAAATGATCCAGATTAAAAGAGCTCCCCTGCAATTAGAAGTACTTGTCTTTTGAGGAGACCGAGCACATGGTTGTGCTGGGAGACAGGAGGGGGCAATGAGAAGCAGCAAAAGCGGGGGTGGGGGAGGAATGGGACCTGGCCCAGCTGCAAGCAAGACAGCCCTGTTCCTCACATCCAACAGCTCTGTTTGCAATTTACCTAGTGCTCACCTGCTTCTAGTTCTCTGCTTCTGTCAGTGCTACAGATGTGTAGTAATTGCGGGAGGATGCAGGATTCCTTCCATTTGCTGCAAGAGGACTGCAGCTTGGCTCATGTAATGCGTGTTTTTCTGTGTGCACAAGATTATTGGATGGTAATAAAATTATCAGTGTTTAAAGAATTGCTGGCAACATCCTCCACAGGTACAGACCAACACCTGCAGAATCCAACCCATGTCCCTGCCAGGAGAATTGCAACTCAGCCACATCTAGTGACTGATCTAGTGAAATGTGTTTTGCAGGAGTGCTCAGAAAAGCGGATGCATGGGAGCATGTTCCCTACTTCTCCATTCATCTACTACTATGATGATGAATATGATGTCAAGAAAAGAGCGAACAGATTAAAAAGAAAGGTTGCAGGTACAGTGTATTTTGGGAGATTCCTTCTGCCTTTCAGTTCTTTGAAATACTTTATTCTGTGCTTGCTGCTTTTAGAAATATTGTGGGATTATTTTCATGTGTTGGGAAAAGCTATAGGGATTTGAACAGGTAGTCTAACAGTAGTAAAAGATTTGTGACTTTATTCATCCGTGTCTATCATGGAAATTTATTGTGTCAAAGCCACTAGGTGGGTGTTGTCAGATGTTTTAATTCTAAAAAATTCACTGACATTAAAAGTGCTATAAACTAGCATGAAGAGGATTAAACTGTAATTTGTTAAGATTCTAGTCTGTTGACAGAAATAAAACACTCTCCCTGATAGATTTTTTCCTAACTTCATATATGAGGAAAGCTGTGATGGCTCGGGCACTAGGTTTTAGGTTTTCTGCGTGGGTATTGAAATAAACTGCTCTGTTTTACAGAACTACAGGAAGCCGGCCTTCTGCCAGAACAGTTAGAGACACCATGGCAGGAAGAAAAACATGGGGGGCACAGCTATAAGAAAAAGAGCAAGCCTTGGAAAGAACATGGGAAACAGAACAAAGATGGCAAGTGTCACAAAAAGATGAAGATGTCCCGGGGAGAGAAACCCAGAGAAGAGAAACACAGAAGTGATGTTGAAATTGGCTACAAGATGGAGGAGGACTTCCCTAGAGGGTGTAAAAGGCAGGCATGTAAGGGCAGCAAAATCTGTCACCCGTCCATTTTCCAGGCATTCCCAGGCAGCAAGACTGCATATGTGCAGGAGCCTCTGGAAGGTGCTAAAAGGAAGAAGAAATGGAAAAAGCAGAAAGATGCTAGTCCTGATATCAATGAGAATTTATTCCTCATAAAACAGAGGAGGAAGAAGTCTAAACAGAAATCCTGGTATTGAGGAAGTAGATGGGTAGCACTGGCATTTACTGGTTCTGGCTCTGCCTTCTGTTTATTTTTGTCCCTCTCTTAGCACACTGAATTTGAGTCTGTCCCTGAACCTGGGCAGGCATGCCCAGACACGGGTCACACATCTACTGTCCATCTCTGTTCCCAAAAGGGAGTGCTCTGTCTGTCGTGAACTGTCCACTTGACAGGCGGGACTCAGTGCTCATACCTGTAATGGCTGTACTTTTCAGCAGTCCCAGAATAGGCTGTAAGTTTCTTTTCTTTGCTTGGGGTGAGGGGATTGGGGAGGGGAAGTCACCATGCTGGGTTTGGTAGGTTTTGTTTCTTCACCGGTGAGATGTTGCTCTGCCAGTCAGAGCAGGATCTGCTGCTAGGGAGCACAATGATGCCTTTGGAGCTGACACTGGAGAGACTCTCATGTTAGGAGGAGTCGGGCTGGAGGCCAGGGATGTGGATGTAAAGCACATTTCCTGCAGCCACTTAATCCTCTCCAGAGTGCAGTTGGGCACTTTTTCACTTCTGTCCCTCCTGGAAGGTGCTGCGAAGTCATCACTTTGCACGTTGGGGCATGGCAGTCTCCTGACTTGCACTCCAATGTGATGTCGTGGATCCATAACCCTCAGTGCCGTGGCTTTCGGTGCCGAGCATGGGCGAGCCCTGTGTGAGCCTGTTCTCTGTCTTTGCCAACTAGTCAGCATGGCAGGAGAAGGCAGCTGAGAAACGGGACAGAGTTTACATCTTGAATTAAATATGTCCTTGTTCCTGTGGAAGTTGTTTCTGGATTAAAAATAGCAGAGTATGAAAAATGTGTTTGATTCCAGACATACTGTGCTAAAATTTAGTAATTTTTTTTAAACACAGTTATTTTTGTACCCTGGAATTAAACAAGTGTGTTGTTAAAAGCTTTGTAAGAATAAATGCTTCATCAAAGGAACAACCCAAATAAAACTTTACATGGGGGATATAAAAAAAATGTAGGTTTGTTCTATATTTTCTTGCATTACCAAGCATAATTAAAAACAGTGTCTGCTTCTCTTTCCTGATCTGAAACTACATCACCTCTGGCAAGAGATTTTCTGGTTTTGAAAAGGAAGTTATCTATACTCTACTGATTCATGATCTACTCTATACTATACCACTCCTTTTGCTAAGCAATTGGTAGTAACTAACAGCACAATTTCATAAAGGTACATGCCCTCTCTTAATTCTTACTAAGAAACAGGCCTTTGGCTACAGTTGTGGTTTAAAATTAAAAAGTATTTGTAACCTGTGCTAATGCAGGGATATCTGGGGAGGGGAGATGGGTACATGAGAAAAAGTTCAGGACTATCATTCTGCCAGTAGTATTCCATGCTGGTACTCCCTAAATTAATCAGCTTTTTGTTTGGCAAGGTTGCCAGTGAGAACACTGGTATTTTTGTGACCATATCACCTCATCTCAGAGGTCTTTAGAGTAGAGCTACGCCTACATAATACTTGGGAACTTAATGCCCAGTTTTGCTTAAGTGCGCCCTTGTTGGCAACTGAAATTCATTTTTGCTTAGCTCCATTGATTACTTGATTGAAAAGTTCCTGATGATACTCAAAAAGTAAATCACTTTTAGCCCTAATAAAAAAACTCATTAATTCCGCTCCTGAAAAATCTTGCCCCTAACATTGAAACTCGTCTTTTCCCATGTGCTGTGTTTTCCATGCCTTTTTGTTTATCAATACCTGGTTCTATTTGAACAAAGTAGCCTTTAGCTGAACGGGCATGTAGACTGGTAGATAGGGAAGGAGGGTTGTTTAAATTAAGTCCTGAAATCAGCTCCAACTTTTCTGATGCATCAGTTTGGTCATGTGGGCAGCTAAGTTGTCACGAGGTGAGTACATCTCTTCTCCAGGAGCTGCACCTTTCTTTGAAGAGCCACCAAGAGCTCAGGAGTCTCTGTTCTTGCTCTCATGTCCCCTAACACTTCCTTGGACAGAAGTGTTACGATGAAGAGGATTCCCAAAGGGACCATATTCTCCATTTGCAAGAGATGGATGGCTCAGATGTCAGGAGTTACCACTGTCTGGGGGTACGTAATAAGCCTGTACCTACTGTACATGGACAGCATGCAGGGATGGAAAATCTCTGCCCTCATAAAGGGTGACTGTGTGACTGCTCTCAGAGGACTGCATCCTAGTGGTTGTTCTACCTCCAGGAATAACTAGAAAGCACTTAAGTGTAGAAATAAGGAATGGACAACACCCCTAACTTGTGGTGAGGCAGATTTTAGGGAATCTTGCCTTCCGGAACTGTTTTCTCCACTGTTTTTCAAGCTAATATTCAGTAAGTTTGTGGGGGGAGGGGGTGGTTAAGGTAGAAATGACTCAGTGAAATTGTGGCCTCACCATTCTCTTCACTGTACAGTAGTGTGGCAAGGACTCATCCACGCTCTGGAAAGTTTTCAGATCCTCTATGCCTCTCATTTACTGAAGAACATCAAGTACAGGTAGTTTTCTGCTTCACTCCCCCAAAACTGAAGCAGCTGTGTTTTCAACAATGTCCAAGAGGCCAAGGAGAAAAGTGTGAACTGCAATAGCGTCTAATGAGAGATCGCTTCTCTGTTTGAGCTGTCAGTCTGTTTGTGAGGTGTTTTAGGGGTGCCATGTGATATGCCATAAAAAAAATGACAGACACTCTTAGATGTGAAGGCCAAAAGAGCATTGTTTTGATGGCCACTGGGGTAGCATGCTCTGGGAGGTTCCCCATGGAGACCTCCTCTAAGTCTCTACTTCTGACTGCCCACGTTCCACCATTCTCTTCCTCATTTTCAAAGGAACCTTCAAGGAGATTAAAAAGTGCAATTTACTCCTCCTCCAGGCATTATGCAATGGCTTTATGTGATGATGCATTATTTAGTAGCATAGCCAGTGTGAGAAGCGACATTGGTAGTGGGAAAATGATACGTGCTGAAATCGCTCGACACAAGAAAATCTATCAGTATTAGTATTGCTGTGCTAGTGAGGCTGCTGTAGACTGATACACCAGCTCAGGGGCAGTGGCGTAGCCCCTGTGAGTAAGAGGTACAGATGCCTTTACATTGTCCATGTGCAATGTCAAATGGTGGTTAGGTGTGGAGCTTTCCTAACTCTTCCTTTAAAGATAAGGGGCTTGGCCACTGTGGCAGGAGTTAAGCCAGCCAGGAGTCCCAAGTTGTTTCTCTGATGCTCAGTGGCTTCAGTCAACAATATTTCACCTTGGACTCTTCTATGGAATTTTTCAAAACCAGTTATGCGTTGGTGAGAAGAGGCCTGCCTTGTCTTGGGAAGCTAACAGTGGAAAATCTAGGCAAGTTGTGTAACTTACACAAGTGCTTGGGTTAAACCCACAGAAGCCTGGCTGTAGATTGTGGCTTCTGCCTGACACTGGCAGTGACCGTTGCAAGTATCAGATGATATGTTTGTGGTGGAAACATCTCTGGCTTTCCCTCTGAGTACTGCAGCTGCACAGTCCTGCATATATCTAACCTGGCTTTTGCTCTGATAGATGTCTGTTGCTTGTGGTTGCAAGACAGTGAGTAAAAGCACAGAGAAAGTGGGGTATTTGGGACCATGGGAAGAGAAAAAGATAAACGAGCAACATTTGGAAGCAGATGGGAGATGGATGAAAGAACTTCTAGCAACCTTGCAGGTGAAGGCCAGGATGTGACTGACTGGGGAGCAGTGTTGCAGTGCAGCTCCCAAGCTGACCATGTTTCCTTATTGTTTACTAGCTGATATGTAGCTTTATGTGGTGGAGTCCCCATCCCTGGATGTATTTGAAAGACATGTAGATGTGCTGCTTAGGGACACGGTTTAGTGGTGGGCTTGGCAGTGTTAGGTTAACAGTTAGACTTGATGATCTCAAAGGTCTTTTCCAACTTAAATGATTCTGTGGTTCTATGATTCTGTGAGGCAGCAAAGCTGTGGTAAAAGACACGAGATACTGCAGCAACATATCCAAACTGGAGCATTAGCCATAAGTCCACTTAAGTCATGGCAGGTTAAGACATCAGCTCAAATACTGACCTATGTCAGGTTTTGCACCACAAGACAGAATGGATCTGCTCTAGGGGGCCCACCAGAGAATTCAGAGAAGAATCAGAGGGTGCAGATAATGCAGCTAGCAAGGAAAGGCTGACATGAATGACGTTGTTTTTTTTCTATAGAAAAGCAGCTGGGTAAATGAGGTGCAAAGGAAAATGGCTGTTCTTAATATGGGTGTGAGTAGGACAACAAAGCACATGCTTAAAGAGCAGCAACAAAGGTGTAGCTGAGACACCAAGAAAAAAGACCTTAAAATGGTAAAGGTGATAGGGGACATGCAGTCTTGCTGGTGGGTTTCAGGGAAGAATTGAACAAACACCTGCCAGAGATGACAGAGATGGTTGAGCAAACCAATGTGTGGATGGATTGCTGAGCTCCCTTTCTTCAGTGGTCTCTCAGCAGACTGGTCCTGCCCTCCCTTCCACCCAGCTAGCATGGGTTCATGAAAGGCAGTCCTGCTTGAGCAACCTGATCTCCTTCTATGACCTGGTGACCTGCTTAGTGGATGAGGGAAAGGCTGTGGATGACATCTACCTGGACTTCGGTAAAGCCTTTGACACCATCTCCCACAGCATTCTCCTGGGGAAGCTGGCAGCTCATGGTCTAGGTAGGTGTATTCTTCACTGGATAAAAAACTGGCTGGGTGGCCGAGCCCAGAGACTTGTGGTGAATGGAGTTAAATCCAGTTGGCGACCAGTCACAAGCAGTGTTCCCCAGGGCTCTGTTTTGGGGCCAGCCTTGTTTAATATCTTTATCGATGATCTGGATGAGGGGATTGAGTGTGCCCTCAGTAAGTTTGCAGATGACACCAAATTGGGCAGGAGTGTCGATTTACTCAAGGGTAGGAAGGCTCTACAGAGGGATCTGGACAGGCT